CAGGCATAGTCCTTGCATTTCTTTTTGCTATGATCTTTCTGTGCCCCTCGGAAGGATCATGCACGTTAACAGTTTCCAAACGATAGTTTGTAGTGCTGGTGGAAAAACTACCAGACATACAGCCTGCACCACAGGTCATACCCTTGGCTGGGTCATACTCTCGCCACGGGTATGACGATTTCCACGCTGGCTGGAACGCACGCGTCCTTTTCATCTTATCATAGACACGCTGGCCATCTAATTTCTCCTCCTGCGATTTACGTTTGGGAGGTGGAGGGCGAGCGCCGTCCAAATACTTCCACATAACCACCTTGATGTTAGTATTATACTATTGGATAAGGATGTACCTACTATTTGCTTCACTACTATTTGTATGGACTGCTTCAAGTAACACACGCATGCGATGTGGTTACGATGTAAATACCTCCCTATGAGAGCCTATAACTGATTAGTTGCGTCATTTCTACAATCAGACCGTTTGTTCTATGTCAACAGCTACTGTCAAGCGATCGATTGGTAGACTGGGTTCGTGGCCCCATTGTTTAACAATGTTTGTACTGCCGTAGGGTCTAGCATGCAGAGCGTGCTAGCGTCTACTTGTACTAGCGCGTCTAAAACTAGCAGCACACTTCACCATTTTCGTTGCTCGTACAGGCAATTTTCGTGGTCGGCAATTTTTGTGGCTGTTGCCGCGTCACAGCACACTTCACCACAAGTTGAGCAATTTTCGTGGTGAGAAATCAAACCGGTTTGATTCTCGGCAACTCGTGGTCACCACTAAATTTCCGTGGAGAGTGGTCGTTGCCGGCCCCCGCACACTTGGCCATTTTTGTGGCGACCACGAAAATTGCCTGTACGAGCAACGAAAATGGTTAAGTGTGCTGCCCTCTTAACAAGGAAAACTTGTTAATGGGAATGAGTTATATATAGCTCTTTGGATCTTGGTTGAGAGACGCTGCCGCCGGGGACTATAGTAAAATCGATGGGAGGATGGGAAATTGGCACGGTGAGGGACGGGGAAAATATAACTAGTCCGCGGACTAACGGCTATGGGGCATTTACTAGTCCTTCTGATTTTTTACTAGTCTCGGACTAACGGACTAGCGTTAGTGTCGAACCCTGATGATACACAGTCATGACTCTGGAGTGTGAACAAAACAGTTTTTTCCTGTGGATGTGAGATATGTAACGAAGTAAAGGAAATATGAATACAACTAATATGCCACTCTAGATACAATGATATACACTGCTGAGATATTACATGTGGCTCAGCTTCGTAGTCACTTTTTACTCAAACTTGCCTGGTTTCTTCACTACCGTACCCGAACGGGTCTTATACGAGCTCTTGCACAGTGTCTGCTTACTGTCCATATTCGGCAGGTTACTGGCTCTGGTTCGCATTGGTTCCACTGGTGCAGGTGTATGCGACATCTCTGGAGGTCTAGTACATCCTTGGGCATCATTTGGATTGCTGCTACGGACACCACTGGACAGGCTACGTGCATGCGTTTTCTGCCAGATCGGATGTGCGAACGTTACACGTTTCTTTCTCTCGGGGGTGTCTGGAACCTCGAATGTGTATTAGGTTCTGTCTCAACTGGCTCCCATTGGGGCTAGCAACAATATACGATCGAGGCTCGTCGCATTTCAACACAAATAGTTGCTGGCTGCCAACGATTAGGGTTGTGTTCCTGGACTGCCACTGATTGTCCAGGCATGAGGGGCGGCAAATCGTTTGCCACACGATCATGATCCGCTTTCTGGGTCACCTGTCGCTTCTCTAGTTGTTCGCGAATATTGTCCGCATCGCGATGTTGTTGTATCTGCTTGACAGGGATATTTCCTCTCAACTTGCGACCAGCGAGCAGCTCACCTGGGCTTGGTAGTTGCTGACTTACCGGCGTGGTACGAAGACACAACATAACCATGTGAATATCAGTGTTCGCTCGTTTCGCCTTGCTAAGCAAACTCTTTACAGTACGAATCTGTCTCTCGACAAAACCGTTAGACTGCGGAAATCTAGGCGATGACGTCACATTGTCAAAACACCACTGTCTCTCACTATTTTAGAAATTTGAATATGCTAATTAGCTAATTAGCATAATTTATGAGAAAAAAAGCATTTTTTTGGGGGCGGACAGTTTCTCTGAAATTAGCAGTAATTCATCCTATATCTTTGTAAATAACATCAACACATCCTAACCTGAATGAACACCTGGACTGAAATATATTTTGAAGGCAAAAGATGATGTAATTCATACTTTTGTTGTAAATGTATGACAGGATATGATGACTTATTTCTAGTGTCATCAAAGGTTTTAGGTTGTTTGCATCATCTTTCTTCCTGCAATGAAAATGAATTAGTGGTGCATGTAAATTGTCTTTATATCAAGGAGAATAAAGTCTTTATTATTCTACTTACCCTCTAGTGTGTTCTTGCCTAGAGAAGTATTTGATTTTATAGTCTCTAACCATATGGAATCGTTCGAAGCATCATTTGATACACATGGCTTTCCTGCAAGCTTTGCAGTAAGTAGATGTCTGTTTTCTATTCCCAGTTTTCCTGTCTGAGCAAATCTACACACTCAGGTCTGAATTTCTTGTTCTCATACACAGCTTGGAAATGTATATCTCTGTTTCCTGGTGTAGGGGCGTTGTCATCACCAACGAAAGGTCCAAGAAGTTCTTTGACAACAGCCATACGAAACTGTTTCGTTGTCACTCTTTTATTCGGTTCAACAGCCATGTTATGAGCAATATGCATTCACTAGAGATATCTCCATTGAGAAATGAAAAATCACACGGTATCTTTTCAGCCTCTTGTGAGGGTACTTGTAATAGCTCATCGACTAATCCATCCTATCTACACCACCCGTGTGTTTGTTGTAGGCATTTATCAAGGCCGGCTTTTGAATATTCCGATATCCTCCTGGTTCATCTTTGGAGCGAATTCTCTTTTCAACAGTACTGTTTGGATGTACAGTACTCACAGCATTGACACGTTTCACATCCTGCCATGTCACAACAACCATTCTATCCTCAAGGTTGAAAAAGAGGGGTGGGTGCCCCTTTTTTATTTTATTTTTGAAGTCCGCCTGATCTGGAAGATTCCTATTCGCACGTATTGTTCCACACGCACCATAACCAAGTCGTCTCAGTTCCTGGTGAAGATTCACAGAGGAATACTAATTATCCATGTAGATAAAATTTCCCCTACGAGGTAACGGGTGTATGATATCTATTACTACCTGTTCACTGAGGCCTATGTTACCGTCAGGTCTGTTGGGTTCCTTCCCCGTGTAGCACTTCCAATTCAAACAGAAACATGTTTTTGAGTCACACAAAACATAGAACTTGATGCCCTACTAATGAGGCTTGTTTGCAATGTACTGTCTATAAGACACACGACCTTTGAAAGGGCACAAGCTTTCATCCACACTAAGTTCACACCCACAGTAAAAGTTATCAAGGTAAGTCGGCAAAACGGCATCAACGTTTGGGACAAACTTTGAACAAAGGGTCGTAACCAGGGCTGCCTCTCTGTGGCTGTTCTTCGTTATTGTTGAAATGAAGAAAGAAGTTCAACAGCCTGTACTGCTTATTGACATAACCTTACCAAATATTGGGGTAGCTGTCAATGGATCGATTGTCCAATAGTCAGGAAGGCATGGCTTCTGTATAAAACCCATAATTATCTGCAGTCCTGTAAATCTCTTCACTTTACCAGCATCGGTATCAGTCCAATGATTGAAGGTGGAATGCGGGGGAGATCACTGGGGTCATCAAAGAACTGTAGGGCGTACCGATTCGTCTCCAATGCTATCCTCTCGAAAAGTGCGTCTGGATAAAACTTGTAGAAGAAATCGATCGGTTTTATGTCAGCTGTATCAAATTTTAGCCTGAGACCATCAAGTGCATAGATAGGTATAGGGGTTGGTTCCCAATGTTCATCAGCATCAAGCATCCCCCAAGTCAAATCAAGCAGTGGCTGACCCTGGTCACCATCATCAGACTCTCTGTCACTCATGCCATGGCCAGTATCAACAGGCATAGGCCTAACGTTCTGATCAATGTCATCATCACTACTGCTAGTACCTACTGCATGTAGATCATGTACAGCAGCCGTATCCCTAGCATACGATCCGTTACTACCGTCAGTTTCATCACCAGAACTCGCTAAATAACTACCTTCATCGTCTGAATCTCCAACAAAATCCGAATCCGAATCGTTCTTCGTTGAAGCACATGCACGCCATCTAACGGAAATTTGATGAACTCACAGGCACTCAGATATAGGTGTAATCTAAGTTACATGTATGCTGTTTTAATGCCAATGGTTATCTTTATATACTATTTTGTTACTCACTGCTAGTAAATAAGCGGACCACCAAATTTTTGTGCAGGTCCACCAACTTTCTGAAGTTGGTGGTCCTGCTGTCCACTAGATTTTCAGCCGAAATTCTGGCCCTGCGGTGCCGGGCTCGACAAACCTGCTTGCCCGATGGCCCGGGGCAACCAAAATTCGCCCCCGGGCAAGTAGCTTGAAATTGCACTTGCCTGTTCGGGCAAGCAAATTTTTTTATTGACTGGATAGACACTAAAGACATAATTAGATTTTTCTGTTTCCACCCCTCCCTTGCATTGTTTTGCACAGACATATAAGCTGCCTTGCTGCGACGAGATTTGAATGAAAAAAATAATGAGAATGAGACAATCAGTGCATGCAGTCATACTTTGTACACAACATGCATACAGCAACATGTAAACCCGGCCTCCATGATTTTGTCACCATTATGAATGATTGTTGACCTCGTTGATTTTGCCAAAGCATAATCTTGACTTTCGTTTGGGAAACACCTTTACGATAATTCGACACAATTTCTGGCTTATGAGACATTATTAGTGTCAGTGCATCAAAATTATGAAAATTTTAACAAAATCATGCTATGAAAAAGTAGCTCTGGCCAAGCCTAAAATAGCTCCCGTAAAAAAAATAATGAGAGCTCTTTTTTTCATACAAAATAAAAAAAAGCTCTCGTAAAAAAAGAAATTTTTAGGCTGCAACCATCACAGAAACAGCTCAACAGTCTGACACCTATAGCACCTGGCTAGACACCCTTAACTGCCTGTAGTGACCTGGTACCAACAACAGCCGTCTTCACTGCCCTGCTGTTTGGCCTGTCTCTATTGATCTCGCCCTGTGCAACATATAAGAAGACACGCCTCTGCTTTGCACAGTCATTCTTGGTCATGTTCTCATGACAGAATGAAAACAGGGCAGCTGCATTATTAACAACTACTCGCCTAGCAATCGCCGCTCTACGCACTGCAGACTTGACCACTCCCGACACACCGTCACTGGGACCTTTCCCATGCTGGGAACCAAAGAAGTGTCTCTCTCGTTCAACCTGTAGATCTTTTAATGAGAAGGAAATGTCGGCAAATGGTATTTTACTCTTGTATTGCCCGGCGCAGCCGTCTGTGAACTCCACAACTTTTGAAATAATGACTCCCCTTTTCTCACGAAGGTGTTTTAGCGTCAGCATGACGAAATGTTGAATGGCACGTGCATCATGCTTGATATTGCTACTAATGACAACTACTGCTTCCTGAACCACATGATAGTCTCCGTTGTGGTCAGGACAATTATAGTAGGCAACTAGGGGATGGACTGTTACTTGATTAGTGGCCCAGTGAGCTGATTGAATTTCATCCTGGTGAAAACACGAATAGTTCTCAGCGAAATCCAATACCAGCAAGACTGTGTCCTCTGGAATTGCCTTGCTGAGACCGGAGAACTAACCCTGCTGCCAATCGGCTACGAATATATGTTTTGCGAGAGGATTTGCTTCCAATAGCAGCTCATCCACCATTTCCTTTAGGGAACCAGTCTTCACTTGAAGTGTTTTTTTCGATTTGGTTTGGTTGTTGTGAGTATATGTCAGAGTTTTCCACTTTCTCCATGAAACTTGTCTGGCCTGATGAACGATTTCTTCAGCGGTCTGATGATCGACTTCTTCAGCGGCCTGATGATCGACTTCTTCAGCGGCCTGATGATCGACTTTTTCAGCGGCCTGATGATCGACTTCTTCAAAGCGGGCCTGATCGATGCGACTTTTTCAGCGGCCTGATCGACTTCTTCAGCGGCCTGATGATCGACCTCTTCAGCGGCCTGATGAACGATTTTTTCAGTGGCCTGATGATCGACTTCTTCAGCAATAGATGGTAGATGATCGATTTTCTTTCTCAGGAGTTCCACCCAACAATCCCTGCAGCTTCGATTGATACACTTCATGCGATGAAACCGTGAACCTTCCTCTGCGGGACATAAAGTCGAGGAAATCAGTTGATACTTGTCCTTGATTCTTAGGGGTTTCAAGTTGTTACGGTTAAGAGTTTGGAGTTTGAGCATGCCATCCATACAATACTCGCACAGACATTGCATCACCTTGTGTTTGCGCTGGAGGAGAACATCATCGGGTCGGAGTTTCATGAAGAGGCTTAAACTGCATACATCCGTTCGTGCTACATCACCATCTGGATCGTTGGTCTCTGATTTCCACATTTCGTATGCCCTATAAATGGAAACCTCCATCACCCTCTGTGGAAAAAGGTCTTTCATTACAGATCGGATGGTTGGCATTTCTCTGGCTACAAGTGGGCTGCGGTAAAAATCGTTGATGCCATTCACTACATAAATACACTTGACATCCGCTCTCTTCTTCCGATATCGTTGACCATCTTCTGTGGATTTCCTTTTCAACACATTAGCCAGATAGTTAGGCCTCAGTTCAAGATCCTTGGCTAGCATCTTCTGTGCCCGATACTTTTTCTGAACAAGAATTTAAGACACAATGATTGCCCTTTTTTCTTTACTCTTGTCATCCTGTAGCTCTTTAAGGTGCTGGATGCTCCCCTTGAGTTTGGACCATGCTCTCTCCTGTACAAATTTCAGACGTTTCCTTCCATGATCTCGGTCCAGGCTTCGGGTACCTATTGCGTTTCGTTTTCTTGGCGTCAATCGTTTACTATTAATGAAACCAGAAACAATCTCTGATTATTGCTCTGCATCGGACGACATCTTTGCCCATATTCTTGACATGGCTGTCCTTTTAGCAGCTGATGTACGAAATCCTGTTCCCTGTGTTGGCTGACCGATTGTGGCATCTGGGATTGTGACACCAGATTTCTTCAACCTTTTCTTGGCTGCTTTATCACGCTTCTTTTCACGGTCTTTCTTCTTATCCCATGCCTTCCTTGAGAGGTCTTTTTGTCCCAACAAATTCTTTGTGTTTCTCTATTGTACTCTCTCTTGTTTTTTTTCTTGGCGCGTGTAAGGACCTTTACTACCGGTAATGCCTTATTTTCCTTTGGTAATGTTCCTTTAACTTTTCGTTTGTCATATTGTTTTCGAGACCTTGCTGCAGCAGCAACTTTATCACGTTCTTTCTGTGCTTCTGTTCGGTTACTCCATTGCTTTCTGTCTCTTGGCTTCTTTTTCTTTATAGATGCTCCAAGCAACCGGGTCTTGCTTTAGGAGTTCCCTTTTCTTTCGCATGCTTTTAGCCGATGCCGAAAGCACTTTCTTCCTAATCCCACTGTCATCTTTGGTTGTGGCCGTGGTGTCGACTTTATTATATTGAACATGTTCTGGACCGTGATCGAATACGAAGTGTTAACCTTGGCACGACAGATATCTGAAATTTAAACAAACAGCTGACCTAAAATATTGGCAAAATGGCATGTCTAGGCACTTCATTAACTATAGTAACCCCCTCCCTGCCTCCCCACGTGCAGAGAAATCAGCTTTCTGTCAAAATCAACGTATATATATACGTTGATGCATCACTTCAAAATCATGATAGAGGGTTCGACAGGTTGCTGACCTTCTCCCTGTGTAGGCTCATTATCAGGGTAAAAATACTTTTTTTCACCAGGGCCATTTTTCTGACTTGTCAAAAATTTACCAGAGCCATTTTTTGAAGTTCCAGAGCCATTTTCATAGTTTCAAAAACTATGTAATATAATGTATTCTTATTTTATTTGTGGGGATGGGGACATCAATGTAAATTGTATGTATTATGAATTCCATGAGTGTGTTAAATTTGTTGTTAATACATGTACGTATAATTGTATCCCCCGCGACGAAGTCGGCATACATGTCTACATATACATCTCTACATGTACACATGCTTCACTAGTCACTACTTCTAGATTGCTTATTGCTTTGTTATTTTGTAATAAACAATTAAACATACAGTATGAATATCAATTTATTTATAAATGTTCTTACAGCACACAACAAATCAACTATGGCAGTCTGAATCATGTTGAACATTCAACATGGCAATGATGGCATGGCTTTTTTGTTTTTTGTTTCTGATTTTTGCTGCACATGTGGCGTAAGTCTTGTCTTAATCATTATCAAAATCTGAATTGCCTTTCATCTCCAAGAAAGATCCATCGTCAGTTGCTGTTTCATCTCTACTGGTGGTAACAGTACTGGGCCCACTTCCATATGAAGTAGCAGTGTCCAATGCCCTGTCAGACTTGTCTGACCGCTTACCATATGGCAGAGTGTGTGGTCTACTACTTTGCTTTCCAGCTTTATACCATCTTGCTACTGCAGGTTCTACTTTGTAGTCCTCTTCATGGGGACCCTCTAGGGAAATCATCATAAGGTGATCAAGAGTTTTAGTGCTCAGTCTTACTCTCCAATCTGACTTCATGCGATTCATGTGAGAGAACGCCCTTTCGAACTGCAGCAATCTCTGCCAGTCGATGTTCATCTTTCATCTTTCTGATGAAGTGCCAGATACTGGAGTGTCTTTGGCCAACAGCGTTGTTCCATCGCTTGTGGAAGCCTGCAACATGTAAATGTGTCAGAATTATTGGAGAAGGCAGCAGTCTTTCAATGAATACATTTTAATTAAGTTAGTATAGTGAGCCAAAGACCACAGGCTATAGTTTAATAAACCGACCTAACCAGAGGAGAGTCTTTTAAAAGCTTATAAAGGTCCTTTGCTAGAGTGGGGATCCAGTCTATGTGTTTCTCAACATACCTTCCACGTGGTTGTTAGTGCGAGTGTCGAAGTCCTTGTCAAACACATTCCACATCCTTGGTGGAAAGCTGCCGTTAGGCTGCATGTAGGTTTCTCTCAGGTACTGGACAAGTTCATGGAGCTCTGGATACCTCTGCATTAGACGCACATTCTTTGGCCGCTGGACCAGCATTTGGAAGTTCTGGCGGACGAGTTGCAGTGGTAGATACCCCAGTGCCATAAGCTTCCTCAGAAACTTCTTCACTTTGCGTCGGCGGTGGTAGTGTCGGGTGAGGCCTAGCTCCTGTACATGACGCCACAGGCTCTGGGTAAAGTGGAAGTGGCACCCACAGACACGGATCCTATTGAGCTCTATCTCAAGAGCACTGATGAGAGATATCTCATAGTTACATATGACCTGCCGTGGGCGCCACCGGTGACCTGTCACCCTCCTTACTTCTCCCTTCACATGCTGTGAGACCTGTCTGTACTGCCCCACTTGCTTGGCACTTATCAGACACATAACAAATGGCACCACGTAACCATTGTACATCCCGTGGATGGTGACGAATTGCGTGTAAGGAGAAGGGCAGGTTTTGAATGTGCCGTCCATGTAGATGGTATGTGCCCTTGCAAGAAGACGGTAATCTGCCTCGGTGGCAAACACCAGTATTCCCCAGTCATTATCCTGGTGGCTCAGGAATTGCTCGTCTCTCCACGTGTTCTCCCAAGGACCCTCAATGTCCACTTCTTCTATGGAGTGAGGGATTGGGGGGGGGAGTACTTGCTGTCTAAATCTCTTCAGCCTGGACATCACACATTGGAATACAGGAAGGTCATCAACATCCACGTCCTGTGCGTCAATTACCACATCATTGAACACTCGCTTCACTGGTTTGGTGGAATCCTCTTGGATGAAATCCTTCATCTGACATGTGTAGTTGTCAGCAGTAATTCTGCTCGTGTCTGGCTCATGGTTGTGCACTTCTTCCTGCAAGCAGAGAGTGAAATAACATTCATGAAGTGAACTAATGAAAGGCATTAGCAGAAAAACTCGGAAGCTCTGTATTATATCAGTAGTAGATAATAGAGATCTCATGTGCGCCCATGTGGCGACGCTGTGACGCAGTTACGTGGCGACGCGCCCACGTGGCGACGCGACCACGTCGCGCCCATGTGACGACGCGACCACATCGTGCTCATGTGGCGACACGGTGACGCAGTTAGGTGGCGATGCGGCCACGTGGTCACGTAGTCTAGAAATAGTTGAACTTGTGTATTCATTAACACTGCTCTATGTAGATTGGCGTATAATTACTGTAGCAATAATAGCACAAACATTTATGATATTTTTCCCGTAGAGCGCGATTCCGCTTTCTGACGCCATTGTTCTTATAGTGCTCATGGTCCAGGTTTCGCAGCCACAGTAAAAACGCGCTGCGGAACCAGCAAGCCCCCTCTGTCACGTATTCGTAGTGGTGTTGGCATGGAAACTGTTCTTTTCTGCTCTTTTGTACGAACACCTGAATATGAGCAAGGCTTTAGTCAAAACTGAAATTGTTGTTATGCTCCTCACTTTTCCCTGCATCGGCAAAACAAGCCGGTCTGTTGTTAAGAGTTGCAAAGTCTAATCTTTTGCTTTCTGTATTATTGCATTGTTTAATATTTACGTTGCTACATGTTTGGGTTCAAGTTGTTTTAAGTTATGTTTAATGTTAACAAGCATGTTTATAAGATTGAAAATTTAATG